TACATATTTTTTATATTTAGCTCCATTTCTGTTTGGTTCACTGTCACTAAATTTTAACTCCTTGACTTGATGACTTGAACCATATAATATAAAACCTTTATTTTTAACAACTGTACTCCTTTTTAAGTGAATTTGGAGCCCATGAAACAAGTGATTTTAAAACCCAAGCAATTTAACCAAACATGAACATATGGTTTGTTATATAATATTTGTTCTAAAAACATCAGCCTACCCAAGCTATAAAACCAGGGAAGAAATTTCCCTCATATGAGTTTTTAAAAATCTAATGAAAGCAAAGACCTTGCAGGTACTACTACAAAAATCTTAGGGAGCTGGGAATTCTGCAAAAAGTACTTTGTCATTTTCATATTCACAATATTTATTTACATAAGAAAAGAGTTTCTTTATAGCTAGAAGTTTTTTAGAGATGTTCTTCCAGTCCCACAGGTTTTGGCAATAGAAACAGTTTTGAGTAATTTAAGGTAAAATGTATCTGTAGTAGAGAACTGATTTATTTAAAAATTTACAGATTAAGAGACAATGTTAAATTTGTATTCTTGTTTTTAAAAATTAGGCATTTATCTGTATTTAGCCTTTTAGAGTTATATATTCTAATGCATATTCACCTGTTTCTTCTATTTGGAGGGTATTTAATAATGAATTAGTGTCATTTGCATTACATAGGAAAATTAATTTTACAAGCTCTATTCTCTATTTGAGTAACTTTACATATTGACCTAGGAAATAACATAATCAAGTTAGCATAATTAACTAAGTGTCACACTTTTATGAACTTTATATTGAGAGGAAATTAAAGACATAGAGATCATCAGACTTTGGTTTTAAATCTAAAGGACTTTACAAAGTTGTATTATAATTTAATGAGGAATTTATTTATTTTATATGAACCCAGAATACAGGTAATTTAAAAGGCAAATGGAATATGATAAGCATTTAACTTTGTTTCTGAAAGAATTGAAAAATATGACAAGCTTTGGTGCCTTTTAGGATATAGAAGCTCTAGTAAATGTTTATAGAATTGATGTGAGTAAAATTTTCAATAGGATATGATAATGTACTATTTCTAATATTGTAGAAATTTATCATTCTAATACACACACTTTACACTAAAAATATCTTATCCCTTACCTATATATACTATGTGTATTGACCCTACTTTATTCTTCACTATTAAATATTTCACCTTTAAAACAAATACCTTCCATAACTCACTAAAACCACATTTCATCTAGACTAGAGCACGTTACTGTTACAGTACCTCTTGATGGGATCAGTCTAGGCAAATGAATACAGATGCAGAAGCAAATATAGATAATCTAGAAGGAAATAATATTTTGCTTACATTCCAAATTTTGTACAGGGTTTTTTCAAGCTTTCCTGATGTGACCTTTTATTGTACAGCAATGGTAAGCTGTAGATTTATGGGTTTTTTTTCCTTACCATACAGTTGATAAACTGCAAGACTGTCTTATGCAGAAATACTTTAAGAAACTAGAAGAGCAAGCAAAGAAGTTCAAATGATAGGATTTAAAAGAGGCTCACATAACAGAATTCAAATTTCTCTACTTCATGATAAAATGAAGGGATTCATGACAATAGAATGACAATAGGTTGCCAATTTTGGCAGTATCTGAAATTGTGCCCAACTACTTACTGACATTGAGAAATGTGTAATTCCTTGGAAATGTCTTTGATATATGGTCAGTCTTGTCATGTAAATGTCAAGAAGACAGAACCATGTTCTGTTATGTTTATTATACCTATTTTTTATGTCTATTTCTGTAAAATTGAAATTATGTGAAATATGCATGAGGAACATTAGGTTTGTAGTCAGACAGACCTAGATTTGAGTATCTTCATTTAGTAGCTGTGAAACTCTGAGAAAATTCCTTAGCCCTTCTGAGTTTTATATTTTTCTTATCAATAAAGATAGTACTTTGTAGGCATATTATAAAGATCAGAGAATAGTGTAAATAGAATGCCTAGCTCATTAAATCTTCCCATAAATGGTAACACATATCATGATTATTATAGTTATTATTAATATGTTTGCTAATCTCATGTTTATCCCAATTTGTGAATAAAACCATGCTATTTTCTTGCATGTATGTTTGATTTTTTCATAAACCAAAGGGTAAGAGATGCCTAAAAACTTAAACTAGCTCTTTGTTACTGTAAAAAAGTTGCTTGAGAAAAGAATATCATATATAAATTTGATTCTAGACTCTTTTTCCCTTACTCATAGCCCATGGTTTCTAAATAAACATGAAATTATGGCCCAGTACTAGTTCATAGTTTACTGAAAAGAATTAGATGAATACTGTTTTCTAAGCATCTCAAATTTTAAATTCAGGCTCTTGGTGTTGAATTTCATATGATACAATAATATTGCTAATAAAAGAGGTCAGTAGATAATGGCAAATGTGCTCTGACTTAAAAATTCAGTTTGTTAGAATTATAAAACATTGACTCCGTGAGAGAATTGACTCCCCAAGGTTATTTGAGGAAAGTACTGCTTTCACTTTAAGCTTTACTCATTTAAGACTATACTTCTCATTTCAGTTAGGATATAGTTGGAATCTTGTAACTTAATAGATCAACTGGTCAAATTTTCTTTTCCTTGAGGAAATTCTCATCTTCCTCAAGTTTATCTCTGGAGTTCCAGAAGAGTTTTAAATGAATTGTTGAAGACTGTAATAAGTAACAAGGTCCAGATAAGGACTTTGACTTTCTGTCTCCAAGTCCGTTGGTCTTTCCCCTATATTGTGTTCACTGTTCATTTATGTACATTTGTGGTCAAGTCTCTTACAATGCCTATACAATTTCCAAATTTTTATAATTGCCATGATTATCTAATTGGGTTTATTCTCATATGCAAACAAAATATAAATATTTTATTTTGACATAAGTTATTTAAAAAACTCATTGCATTGTATTATTACAACATATACATGTCTGAGTTTCATCAACAGCATAATTTGATATATGGCTCCCACAAGGTTTAATCCATTACAGATTTTATTTGAAACTGTTGGCTTCATTTTGCATAAATGTAGTATATCATTGTCTAACTGATTATAGGGTTTTTTATGTTTCTAGCACCTTTAAGTTTTTATACTTATTTTATTAATGATATTGCTGTTCCTACTTGATACTTCCTTCTCATTACAGTTGTCTCCCAAAACTTAAAAATACTGCTTCATGCAAGATAAATAATACTAGCATTTTTTGGTCAAATTATCAGAGAATTATTTGTCTAAACAATTTTAGGTGGCTACCTTTTGAGTATCTACATGTGAGATGTGGCAAAGTAAAGGGAATAATTAAACAAACAGCTTCACTGTTACTATTTTTACATTAGGATTTCCTAGACCTTTTGTTACTGTTTTGCTACTACAGATGCTTCTCAAATAAAGCAAATAACTGAGTTTTCTCCAAAGTGTGCTGTAGACAACACTGATAAATTGATTAGCAATGTAAAATCATGAACTACAGACACATACTATCCAGAACACATAAAATTAACAGATTTTTAATTTTCTCAGTAACTACAGGTCCCTCAAATTTAAAGCTGGTAGAAGAATACTTGATGCTCTTTTCTGTTCTTACAGTGGTACACATAGTAATTATTCACTGTTCTATAATGGATCATTTTTATCTACATTGTGTGTCTGTTCTGTTTATATAGAATAAATATTTATGTTTTCTCATTTTTCTGAGCTAAGTGATACAGATAAATAGATTTGAAGTACCTGCTATAATTCATTGCTTGAAAAGAAAGGCCTTATACTGATCTTTTATGGAAAAGAAAACTAAATCATTTCGGCAGCAAGCTTATAACCAAGATAATATCACCATTTTCCTTCTTGAAAATGTATCTTCCATATTTTAAAGAAGCAGTATTTTACTAAAAATGGTTTGACATGTTTGACCTGTCATTATTGCAAACCTACCATAACTGAGGTTATGCTTGATAGAGAAAAAATAATGGAAGATTTTGTTTTAGTTCCACACTCACTATATAAGATCATTTAAAAAAAAGTCCTCCTAAAATGAAAAAATATGTGTTTATTAATACCTCATAGTTTTCTTTTTCTCAAAAACCAATTATTATCCTATGTAAATATATAGTGATAAAACTATAGTAATGACTTAATGGCTAGTTGGTGGCTAGTTGGCTAATGTCATAAAATTTAGATAAAAAAATCTAAAATTTTCATTTCTGCTCACACACAAAATGTAGCCCTGTAATTTACTATTCTTGTATTTTTTTTCTTTTGTACTTAGATGTTTTTCTAGGTCAGGAACAAGCTATATATAACTCAATCTAAATTACTTAAAAATTAGAAACAGAAAAAGTTTTGGGTATGTTAGAAACATTTGACATACTTTGGAAATCCAGATTTACATTTCTTGACTTTGACTTAATACTACCTTTTACAACAATGAAAAGAATTTTATTGAACTATGGTCTATATACTAAAATATGCCCTTAAATAATTTTCTGAAGGTGCAATGGTATAGTAATTTGTAAATAAACTTCACTTAGTATAAATGGTTTCTATAAATAACCATACAGCATGATTTTATTATTTCTTTTCATATTGCTGCTTATCTGTGATATGTTCAGTAAGGAATTAAGTGTTCTAATTATGCAAGTAATACATTCTTTAGGATCGTGTAGAAAATGCAAAAAAATAAAGAAAACAAATTTCCTCCCAGAGGTTACCACCATTTGCATTTTGGTCTATTTCTTTCTAACTTTTCTTGTAGCAAGCATTTAACAAATATTTACTGAGCATCTTTTTAAGAGTAAGACCCATTAATGATTGCTGGGAGTATGCCTTGGTCTCTGTGGCAGAATATAAACCCTATCCTTCTGATGTTTATTATATCTATCAAACAATACAGAAAAATGAGATGAAACCTATGGAAGAAGCAGCCAATATACTGTTAAAACCAATAGCAGGGGAACTAACCGATTTGATGGGTCCCAGCAAACATTCTTGATATTTTCAGAATGTGGTAGAAGTCTTTGCTCAATTTCAGTACTATTGTAAGCATACGTTCTCGATTGCTCGTTCTCTCTCTCATATTTTTAAAATTCCATTGACTATTTCAGTGAAGATCTAGAAGGAAAAACAATTCTTGTGTGCAGATAGCCTTTCGTATCTGAAAAATTCACATTATTTTGAAAACCACTGTGGTATCACCATTGCTGCTGTAAACTTACATAGACTGAACATGAATAAATCATGTTAGGCAATTACTTCACTATAGTCAGAAAAAGACAGCATTTCTAAATTATTTTTATGATAATATAAAGTTGTTGCTGATTCCTTGTTAAAATTTATGGAAGTATTTCATTTTAGCCAGTTTTAACTCTGTTGTCCTAAAGCAATTAGCATAGTTTCATAGCAATTTTGTTAGACCAGTTTTATACTAATATATTTATTTGATTAGAAAAATACATTTTTAAGTAGTTTGATTAATCATGTGCTTCATTTTTACCATCATGAAATATGTTAATCAACATGAAAAGTAATATGTTATAGGTACTGGATCTAGGATCATATTTCATTAATACAGGAATGTTAATTGAATGCTAATTCAAATGCTAATCATGATTCACTTCTATTTTTATACTATGTTATACATTACTATATTTTAAACTTACTGTGTTAATATTAGAAAATAAATAGGGAAAATGTAGAGGCATAGTTCATATTCAAAAACACTTTAAAACAATGGCAAATAAGCTGAGTGTGTTGAGCCTAAATATTCATCATGAGTTTTTTTAAATGTTTCATTAAAAAAAATCTAGACATATGATAGTATGTTTTATGATGTAATTTCTATTGCCTTATAGTCAAAATATGAGAATTCCTATAGTACTTAACATGTTATAAAATTTTGTTTTGAAAGCAAATAATTTTGGTATGATCTAAGACTGTATTGTTGAAACTAATACTAGAGGATTATCACATAGACAATATCTTAGTTCCTAAAAGAAGAATCTCTTCATTTCCTTAGTGTTTTTGGCAAATAATGTTTTTATATCTCCCATTCTAACATTGATCTCATCTGTTCCCCAGAAATTGCCCATTTCTGTACTACAGCAAAATTTCTAAACAGTTGTTTGTACTCAGTATCTCCATTTTTTTCCCTCCATAATTAGAAATATTTATAAAAATATAAGTGAAAGGGTACAAAATATATATCTCCTGATTGTAGTCATATAGAGATAATTCTTAGAACACTAAATTGAAGTTGAGAAGATTATTCTTTTTATGTTCAGGTATAAAGCAACATATATGCACTTTTTTTAAAAAGCATCTAAAGAAGAAATGTGCTATGTGTGACACTTTTCCTTTCACACACATATATATATTCATCTCCTTATGGTCATTTCCAGCATAACTAGGATATGTAGACCTGAGAGGAATTGCTGAAAGATGTCCCATTCATAATAAATGCAGTGGATTCACTCTGTGCAAATCAGTGCTATAGTTTTTCAGTTTTTTATTTAAACTGAAAGTCTTAGAGACTGAGAGAGAATATATAATATTTTTAGGGGAGGGATATTTTTATGTTGCAGGAAAAGTTTGATTAATATAGGATATATAAAATACAATGCTATATTACATAATGCTTATATAAATATAATACTATAAAGAAATAGTATTGTTAGCAGCCCAGGCTGTCAGGAGTAATTTCACCATGATTCTTTTGGTCTTTCCATCATGGTCCAAAGACAGATGCTCCACATCCATGTTCCAGAAATTAAAGAAGGATGAAGTGCAAATGACACCTCCCATTTCCTGTTTAAACTATTTAGGCTTTGATCCCTACAACTCCTCTAAAATGGTTCTTGTTAAGGTCATTTATAATCTCTTTCTCACTAAATTCAGTAGTCATGCCTCTGTCCGAATCTTATATGACCTCTCAACATATTTGACAATGTCGAATTCCCTCTTCCTTGAAACATTTTCTTATCCCAGTTCTGTGACCCTTATTGTCCCCTGATTTTTTGGCAACTCCTTCTCAGTCATCTTAACTGGATTCTTCACCCAAGTTGTACTACCACGGCTTAGTCCTTGAGGCCCTTTTCTTCTCTATTTGTATACAATTCCCTAAGTGATTGCATATAGTCTCATACTGTTTATATGTTGGAGACTTACAAATTTCTAATACCTGCCCTGAACTCTTCCCCCAAGATCTAAATTCATATGTTCAGATGTTCACCTGATGTTCCCATTAGAAAGCTAAAGATTGTGGCAAGCTTAATGTTGCCAAAATAGAATTCTTGTTTCATGATTCTTTCTCACTCCCATCACAACTTACTTTTCCCATAGCCTTTCCCAACTCTTACCATTTTTGGGTGCTGAAACCAGAGGAATCATTCCTAATCACTCTATTGTTAATTCCCCATATACACCTGAGAGCCTTCCCTGACTCTGAGCCATATCATACTTCTCTCCATTCCCACTCCTGCCACAGTACTCCAAGCCACCATCATTCTTCATCAGGACTATTGCAATAGCCTTCTGCTTTATTTTCTTATTTCCATTCTTACTTAACCTCTCTGTATACTGCAACCAAAAAAGCTTAAAATGCAAAATAAAAAAATTTTACTTAAATCATTTAACCCTCCAGTGGCTTCTTACTGCAAATGGAAAAATCATTTAGGCCTTCATGGTCACACTAACATTTCACCTCATGCCGATATGCTGACCTTCCTGGTGCTCATACATGCTGAGCTCATTTGTACTGTAGGGCCCCTGCCCTTGTTTCCTATGCCTGGACGTTCTCTTTTTACAGATTAGTACATGACTGGCTCCATCAAACTATTCAGGTCTCAGCCCAAATGTCATCTCTTTAGTAGAGGGGCTTCCCTGACTACTTCAAGAAAAAGTGTGCTACCACGTTTTGTTTCCCTTTCCTTTGTTCTTTCCTGTGACATAAAAAATATTATCTGTTACTTGAAACCTATTAGTAGAAAGACATACTGTTGTTCACTACTTGTTTCTCTATCTCCTGGAACAACCTGATATATAGTGGACACATATATTTGTAGATTAATAAACAAACAATTTCTGTATTGTAAGTTAAGTAATTCTTAATAATTATCATTTGTATTGATATACTAAAATTGTACTTAGGAAAGGAAGCACAACTGATCATTCTTATTTTTGTAAAAAGGAAAAGCACTTTGTCCAGTCATGTACCTCTGAGCTCAACTCTGGAGCAGCTTTTGGAAATACATTTTAAACTTCATACCAATAATAGTTAACATTGTTTTGAGGACCTACTGTGTTGCAAACATTTTACTAGTATAATTTTCCTGCATAATCATAGTTTTAATCCCCAAAGTTAGTTTTTGAAGTTAAGACTTTTAATTTTTTACATTTTACAGGTAAGAAAACTGAGAGGTCATGTGCCTCTCCCAAGGTCACATCAATATTAAGTACCAAAGCAGGATTCAAATAGGTTTGTCTGACTTCAAAGCCTGTATATACATTGTCTGCTGTTCTCATGTAGATGTTTTGGGTAAGAACATTACACAATTGTTTTTTCACTGTAGGATCAATTCAGTTCACAGGATACATACACACATAAACACACACACAACTCACCAACATTTTTTCTTCTGTTTTGTTTTTGTACATGCTCTATTTTTGCCCACATTTGATTTAAAGTCATATTGGTTCATTACGGTCAGTACCAACTCATCATGGCAGACAGTTCCAGACAGCAACTTAGGAGACGTGAATTCTGATTTCAGCTCTCTGAGGAAGTCAGTTATGTATTCTAAGAATGGCTTCTCTATCAGCAGAATAAAAAGAGAAGGGACTAAATGATCCATCTTCTAAGTAAGGCACCTTCTAGCACTAAAGTCGTAGGGCCTTTAATAGAGAAGAATGGTCTGGAGAAAACCATTGAAATCTGTTGTAACTTACCATGGCATGTGATTTATTTTTTGAATATGAATTGCTTATTTAATCTATTGATTTGCTTTTCTTTTAAATACATTGATTTGCTTTTCTTGTAAATAGTGGACAGTATTCTTGTTTTAAACAGTCTTGAAGTTTAGGGAGATAACCAGAATAGTGATAGAGAACTTTAAAGTTGTTTTAGATAATCTATATTGTTTTATTGTTACCTGTTGATTTTCCTCATATCCATAGGTGTTCACACTGAATTCTGTTATTGTTTATAAGTTTTTCATTTGATTCTTTTGACATTTCCAGCTATACACAAATAAGGATGATTTTATCTCTTCTTTTTTACAATTTTATGCTTCACATCTTTCTCTTGTCCAAGTGCTAGCTGTCTACTATCTCCAAAACAGGATTAAATAATACTGGTGTACAGATGACTCTTGAACAACATGGGTTTGAACTGCGCAGGTCCACTTATACACGGATTTTTCCAATAAGTGTATTGGAAAATTTTTGGAGATTTGCGACAATTTGAAAAAGCATTGTCTTTTCTCTAACTTACTTTAGTCTAAGTAAAAAGTACAGTACATATAACATTCAAAATGTGTATTAATCAACTGTTTATGTTATCAGTAAGGCTTCCAGTCAACAGTAGGCTATTATTAGTTCAGTTTGAGGCAGTCAAAAGTTGTATGTAGATTTTTGACTGCAAGTGGTAGGGGTGGGGGGGGCAGTGCCTCTGACCCCCATGTTGTTCGAGGATCACCTGTTCTGTCATCACCTTCACTTTAGTCAGAATGTTTCTAGTGTGTGATGCCAGATTTTGAGCTAAAAACATGTACATTAAGAAAGGATAACAAAGTCAGGTGGAGAAAAACAAGTATCAGATAATTCCACTTACTTATGGAATATAAAAACAAAGCAAAACAGAAGGAACAAAACAGCCGTAGACTCACAGACAATAAGAAGTGACCTTCAGTTACCAAGGGGGGAGGTTAGGGTGGGAGAATAAAAGGGCACAGTAATTTGCAGTCACAATGTAAGTTAGTCACAGGGAAGGTAGTATAGCATGGAGAATGTAGTCAGTGACTGTAACATCTTTCTATGTTGATAAATAGTAACCGCACTAGGGGGAGTGAGGATTTGATAATGTGGGTAACTGTTGAACCACTGTGTTGTACATTTGA